TAAAATTTATTTATTAATAAAATTTTTTATTATTTAAAAAATAAAAGTGTCCACAATAATATGATAGGCCTCTGTATCACTAAAATATCTAATTTCTTAACTATATTAACTATCTGAACTATCTGAAATAAAATGATGAAATCAAAGAAAAGAAATAAATTACAGATATCTCATTTCTCTCAGATTTTTTATTTTTGGAATCGTCATTGCATACACTCATGTAACCATGCAATTTCCCTTTCACATTTATAAAAAAGTTTTTTCATCGCTCCAAGAGATTATTCCCAAGCTAGAAGTTTTGATTAATCATGTCCAAACTTCTTTATCTTCTGATACTATGGTCCATTGTTTTCGATTTAATTCATTCAGAAGCATTCGCAATTCATTTGCTTCTCCTTCAACTCCTGGTTTTTCTTACCTTCATTTGGTCTGTCCTAATTATCAAAAATCTGTATCGCGCTTCTTAAGTGATCATCTATCATTTTCTTTTTTTGTTCAACATATTAACTTATATCAATCAAAAGTCTTGCCTGATAAAGCTAATGATCAAGATATTTCAATTCTTGAAGATCTTACTCTCCATGTGCTTTTTTTTTTCATTTTCACCAGTCAAGGTCTTCGATTATCTATTAAAAAAGTTGACACACATATTATTTTTATCGACACTGGCAAAAATTATTTTCGTATTCTTACTCTTAGCAATTTTATGTTTTATTTTTGTAACAATTCATTTATAGATACCATTATTTTTAAATAACAACTCTTTGTAACAAATTTAAAAGCTTTATTGATATAAAATAAAATAATATTTATATGCTATTTAAATAATGTAAGCATTGATGCTGTTACTGTTCGATTATATTTGTTAAGTGCACTTTTTACAATATTGATCCTTCTATCATTTCTTAGTTTTTGTTGTTTAAGTAATAAGTGTAATTCGGTTAGTTTTGTTCGGTTAAATCCTGTGTGAGTGAATGTTTTGTACAATTGCTCTATTCTTCTATCATTTTCTCCCTTCAGATTCTTCTTCTTCTCAATATTTCTTTCTTTATTTATTACTTCTTGCATTATTGGTATTGTTTTAATTGCCAATCTGTCATGTATGAAAAATATATTACTGGTTATCATTTACCTTTACTATAATGTTGTCCCTTACTTTTTCTATATCGTCACTTCTATCTTTTTGTTTCTGTACTTGTGAATACCTTGCGTATACTATTCCTGCTATTATTATCAATAATGTAAGGATTGTTGCAATAGTTATTTCTCCTGTGGTGCTTACAAATATCCTATCTTCTGGTATGACTATTGTTGTTAAGGTTGCTGTTACTGTTGCTATTGTTACTGAATTAATTATGCTAGTTATTGTTGAAAAGAATGTTGTTATTATCATTGTGATTGGTAAAGGAATTACTAATATGCTCATTGTTAATAAATTCTGAATGCCCTTCCTACATTATCATATACTTTTCTTGCCACTTCTATATCTTCTAAGGATGCTTCTCCAGTTGTCTTTCTTACTCTCTTTTGGTAATAAAGAATATATCCTACAAGTAATGTTATAATAGCAAGTCTTATCAATACTGCTATTATGATTGTATTTACAGATTGAATATTGTTATCAGTGTCGACTGGTGTTGATGTAACTGTTGTATTTTTGGGCATAAGCTAACTTAAAAAAGGATTTCTACTGTTGTTATATGTCGGTAAGACTGGTGGTGGTCGGGTTAAATTTACAGATGTGTTGTACAATTGTTGTTTTAGTGACTTTTTTTCCCTAGTGATGTTTCTGATTCTATACTGTTGTATTCCGACTCCTATGATCCCAGTTGTAACCATTATTAGCACAGTTATTAAAATATTTTCAGTATCTTTTGTAGTGCTTACTCCTGGAGTTGCTTGTTCTATTACTGTTGCAATAGTGCTCCCTGAAACTACTGACACAATAGTGAAGGTAATAATATCTGTTGTTTTTGATAAGATGGTTATAGTTATCACAGAGATTGTTATTGTTGCCATAGAGCAAAATCAATTCACTGAGGTGATCATGCTCAAAATCTGTCCAGTTTTATATATGTTTTTTACCAATAGTATCCATTTTTCCCTTCTTTTGCTGTCATTTTTTTTTAGTATTATTGTAATATGGTGTCATCATTTTCTCATTCTCATATAATCTCATCTTCTGTGTCACTTGTTTGTTTAGTATCATGTGGTTGTATGTGTCTTTGTTCCGCAGATCTATCCGTTCTTCTGAATTCATCAACTTTTCCCAGTATTAGCTTAGTGCATCAGTAATCTCATTTTTTTTTCCTTTTATGTGCTGAATACTTAAATTCATTGTACAAATTAAGTAATATACGTTCATTGCCGTTCTTTCTATTGCAGGTATTATATTTTTTTCATTTAACAAACTTACAGCATTTTTATTATCACAATATACTCTAACCATTCCTGGTGTATAAAGTTGCAACATATTAACATTCTCTTTAATTGTTTTGTAAATACTGTATAATTCTTTCCTTAATGATGTCCAGTTTTTCTTATTTGATTTGAATATCTTTCCATAGAATGCTATTACTTTGTGATCTTATGCAAGCACTGCTCCTATTCCATAATCACTTGCATCTGTATAGATTTTTACTGGTTTGTTCCATATAGGATTCACTATTATTTGTCCACTTGAAACAAGTTCTTTGATTGTTTCAAACGTTGCTTTTGCTTATGGATTATCTGTTGGTTGTTTTGCCTTTCCTTTTCTTCCTTTTTTTTTGTTAAGTGTTCTTTCAATTGTTTCTCTTAATAGTTTTATTAATTGTGCTTTAGCAGGTATGAATTTACTAACATACGTTAGTACTCCTACAAATGATTCCATTTTATGATCATAAGGCCAATCTAATATTTCTTTTACATGACTTCTTGCTATTTTTCTCTTTCCTTGTGATATTTCCCATCCTAATACTTCTACTTCTTCTTTTTTAAATTCACACTTTGATAGTTTTGCTTTCATTCCATTTTCTCTTAAGCAATTCAATACTTCTTCTGTTCTCTGTAATAGTTCTTTTTTAATATCTGCTTCTATTATTATATCATCTATATATATTATTATCTATTCTTCTAATAAAGGCTTGTTTAATATCCTCTGCATGTTTTTCTGATATATTGCTGATGCATTTGTTAGTCCAAAAAACATTCTTGTTGGTTGATAAGTTCCTAATCCTTTTATTTCAAATGCCATATACTTCCTGTATTTCTTGGGTATCATTATATAATAGTATCCTGATAGGCAATCTATTGTTGTAAAATACTTGTAATCTCCTATTTCCATCATAATGTTCTCTATTCTTGGAAGTACCATTTTTATTTCCTTTGTTTGTCTATTAAGCTCTCTATAGTCTTGGCATACTCTCCAGCTAGTTTTTCCTGTGATCTTATCTGCTTTCTTTGATATAGCTGTACAAGATGTTTACCATTCACTGTTGTCAGCTGGTTCAATAAATTCTTCTTTCAATAAGTTTTTTGCTTGTACTAAAATTTCCCTTTCTGCTTCTTTTTCAGCTGGGTATGGCTGTATGTAATATGGAATATACTTTTTCTTGAATTCTAGCTGAAATATTGTATTCTTTATTATTCCTATTTCATTTACATGTTGACCAAACACATCTTTAGGGGAGTGCCAGAAAACACGTGATAAAATTTTACTAAGAGTCAACCCCCCCCCCCTCCTTGTGATCCTAACTATAATTGGCTGATAGCATATTATAATTTGATAATGCAAAGAAAGAGAAATAGATAAGTAAT